CTCACTCACCACCCTGCCCCCTAACCTATACCCAATAAATACAGACACTCCTGGGCATTTGAGGCCTCACCTGTCTCCACTTAAGTGGCATTGGCCCCCTGAATCCAGCTGCGTTTTCTTTGTTTTTTTTTTTTGTGCCTTATCTCTTTATTTCTCAGATCCAGTGCCTCAGTACAGTGATAGGGGACACCCCACGACCTTAGTAGGGGTGGACCCTACAAAAAATAATAAATAAAACAAGGATCAACAGATATTTTTCTTTTTTTTTTTTTCTTCAAAGTAGCTGGATTACAGGCGCTCACCACCACGCTCAGGTAATTTTTGTATTTTAGTAGAGATGGGATTTCACCATGTTGGTTAGGCTGGTCTTGAACTCTTGACCTCAGGTGATCCGCCCACCTTGGCCTCCCAAAGTGCTGGGATTACAGGCATGAGCCACCATGCCTGGCCCAGATTTTTTTCTATAAAGTCCAAGATAGCAAATATTTTAGACTTTATGGGCCAAAGGCAAAATTGATAATATGTGGTTACTTATGTTATACGGGAGAAAACTCTTAGGAGGCTAAGTCAGGAGGATTACTTGAAGCCAGGAGTTCAAGTTCAGCCTGGGAAATATACCAAGACTCCATGTATTTAAAAAAAAAAAAAAGAACGAGAAAGAGAGTCTGGGCACGGTGGCTCACTCCTGTAATCCCAGCACTTTGGGAGGCCGAAGAGAATGGATCACCTGAGGTCAGAAGTTCGACACCAGCCTGACCAAAATGGAGAAACCCCATCTCTACTAAAAAAAAAAAAAAATACAAAATTAGCTGGCATGATGGTGCACACCTGTAATCCCAGCTACTCGGGAGGCTGAGGCAGGAGAATCACTTGAACCCCGGAGGTAGCGGTTGCAGTGAGCCAAGATTGCACCATTGTACTCCAGTTTAGGCAACAAGAATGTAACTTTGTCTCAACAACAACAACAACAACAGAAAAAAAAGCAGAAACAACAAAAAAGAGAAAACTCCTGCTCTGTTTGCATGGAATATAGGCCATACAGTTCATTTGATTTTAGTTTCCTCAGCTGGAGTCACTGACCTGATCAAGAGCAACTGGTCAGAGGGTGAGGGACCTAGCCAGCAGACCTGCAGCTAACTTAGTCTATTTCACTCTGCCCCAGTGACACCCAGATCTTGGCCCACTATTCTTCTCCCAGAATATCCAACCTTTGGCCGGGTGCAGTGACTTCACACCTGCAATGCTAGCACTTTGGGAGGCCGAGGCAGGTGGATCACCTGAGGTTAGGAGTTCAAGACCAGCCTGGCCAACATGGCGAAACCCTGTCTCTATTAAAAATAGAAAAATTTTGTTTTTGTGCCCACCGGAATAAAAAAAAATACAAAAATTAGCTGGGCATGGTGGCACATGTCTGTAATCCCAGCTACTCAGGAGGCTGAGGCAAGAAAATTGCATGAACCTGGGAGGCTGAGGTTGCAGTGAGCCAAAATTGTGCCACTGCACTCCAGCCTAGTGACAGAGTGAGACTCCATTTCAAAAAAAAAAAAAAAATACTAAATCTTTGCAGTTTGTTTTGTTAAGCTTCCAACTTCCAAATTGAGAGTCTACCTTTTTGGTGCCTGACATATGCCAGCAGTGAAGTTCCCAGTGTATAGGTAGTGATGCCCAGGTCCTGGGCAAACTGATGGCCAGAGAAAGAGCAGGCACTGGGATTGTTATAAAGATCAGGAGTAGAAACTCATATCCCAGCTTGGTCTTTGAGGCTGACATTGGTAGTCCACAACAGTACAAAAATGCAGGGTGGTGAGGGATGCTTCTGGCATCTAATGGGTAGAGACCAGAGATACTGCTAAACATCCTACAATGCACAGGACAGTTCCCACAACACAGGATTATCTGGCCCCACAGAAACCCTGATCTATGTGACTGAGAGACATTTCCAAAAGAAAATAGAGAAATCCTGATCTGTAATAATAAAAAAAATTGCTCTGTAGTGAGATACTTTAACAAATCTTATTTTGACCTTCAGGTGACTCATTCCCTCTTAGATAGTGATGATATCTCCACTGGACCACGAGAATCTTACTCATCTTCCCTTTTTTCTTTGTATCCCCAGTCTGTATCATCTTTGAGTTAACACACATATGGTGCATTTATTAATAATAATAGCTAACAATTATTGGATGTTTATAAAATGCTACACATGGTACGAAGTGATTTTCAGGCATTTGTGACAGTAATCAGAGTTGGGTGCCATTATTATCTCCACTTCAAGGATAGTGGATTTGATATTGAGAGGCAATTTTTCCAATGTCAGACAAATGGAGAGCTGGAATAGACATATAGTTGAAGTGTAATATGTTATAAGGTATAATATATGTTTTTCTTTCTTTTCTTTTTTTCTTTTTCTGGTATATGTTTTAAGCTTTCCTTCCAAATTAAAGTTGTTGATGAGTCTTTTCTTAAGCCTGTTGATTGTTCCTTTAGCTGTAATACACCAGATCAATCTATGGGCATCTTCTCTATTTAAAGCTCTACTGGCAGAAAGAGAATGAGAATCAGCAATTCTCCCATTTTCTTTTTTCACTCTAGATTATCATGTTTGTAAATAACATCTCACAAATTGCCTCCCCTGCACCCTCCACAGAACTCACCAGTATTTGTTTCTACAGATTTAACTGCCAGCTTCATAAAAGCTCAAATCCTTATCTTCATCTTGTTTTGGGAATCTCCATGTGGAGTCCTTACCTCTCTCAGACCAGTGGTCTTTGTAAGACTGCTTCTGCCAAGTATATCTGTTTCAGTGTTGGGACAGTGTTCTAGTTTCAAATGATAAAATTATTCATTGTCAGACTTTTAAGCCGTAATAAACCATGCTATTCCAAATAAACCTTGTTTTAAAATAAGTCTGTTTTTAAAATAGAGTTCTTTTGTAAAAGCATTCCAGCATTCCGATGGAAAATAATGTCTCACAGACTCTGGGCGGAGTGTACCTAAGTAATATTCCCATAGAAATGGACACTGAAAAATGCAACTCCTTGTATTTAAGGGTATTTTTTGAACTCATTATGAAACAGCTATTAGAAACAGTTAACACAATCGGTACATTCTAATCTGCTATAGTTTATATGCTTACAACTTTTGAGTTTTCCATTTTCCCAAATATTTAAAATCTGACTTTGTTGCATATTTTAATGATAATCTTATAAACTTCATTTGGGACTGCCCTCCACTTCTGATTTTCTTCATATCTGTGGATTGTTTGTGTAAGATTGCTCTAAAATAGTAGCTGGGAATGATGGTATGCACCTCTGGTCCCAGCTACTTGGAAGGTTGAGGTAGTCAGTTTCCTCAGCTGGAGTCATTCTAGCTATGGTGTGCTTCCAGTGTGAATTTACTTAACACCACTGAACTTTAAAAAGGTTAAGATGAGGGCTGGGAGCAATGGCTCATGCCTGTAATAGCAGCACTTTGGGAGACCGAGGTGGGTGGATCACTTGAGGTCAGGAGTTCAAGACCAGCCTGGCCAATTATGGTGACACCCTGTCTCTACTAAAAATACAGGCTGGGTGACAGAGCAAGACTCTGTCACAAAAACAAAACAAAACAAAACAAATGGTTAAGATGTTAAATTTTATGTTATGTATATCTTACTACCAAAAAAAAAGGGTTAAACTGGCAATTTATACTCCATGTAACATTTATAAATGTCTTTTTGTTGTTGTTGTTATTGTTGTTTTTTTGAGACCGAGTCTCTGTGTCACCCAGGCTAGAGTGCAGTGGCAGAATCTTGGCTCACTGTACCTCCACCTCCTGCATTCAAGCTATAGTGCTGCTTCAGCCTCCTGAGTAGCTGGGATTACAGGAGCCTGCTACCACGCCCAGCTACTTTTAATATTTTAGTAGATACAGGGTTTCACCATGTTGGTCAGACTGGTCTTGATCTCCTGACCCATTTTGGCTTCCCACAGTACTGAGATTACAGGCGTGAGCCACCATGCCCAGCCTTACAAATTTATTTCTAGGCTGGGCGCAGTGACTCCCACCTTAATCCTAGAGGTTTGGGAGATCGAGGTGGGTGGATCACAAGGTCAGGAGTTCAAGACCAGCCTGGCCAACATGGTGAAACCCAATCTCTACTAAAAATACAAAAAATTAGCTGGGCATGGTGGCACATACCTGTAATCCCAGCTACTTAGGGATCTGAGGCAGGAGAATCGCTTGAAACTGAGAGACGGAGGTTGCAGTGAGCTGAGACCACACTACTGCACGCCAGTCGGGGCAAAGGATTGAGACTCTGTCTCAAAAAATAAAAAAGATTTTTTTCTAAGTAATAATTCCATGCAACAGTTGAGATTCTGTACATAGAAGGTGTACCAGGTGAGCACAGTTGTTTTAATAACTCTAGAACTACAGTTACAAACTTAGAAAAAAATCAACTTTAATGTAGAATAGAACAAAGACATTGTAGAGGATGGTGTGTTCATATTTGCAGAAGCAGCCTACAAAAAGCCTTTTATCATGCACTGGCTAATTGATACTAGTATAACTGGATTTTTTTTTTCTTTTTTTTTTTTTTGAGATGGCAGTCTGGAGTGCCATGGCACAGTCTTGGCTTACTGCAACCTCCACTTCCTGGGTTCAAGCAATTCTCCTGCCTCTGCCTCCTGAGTAGCTGGGACTACAGGCACATGCCACCATGCCCAGCTAATTTTTGTATTTTTAGTAGAGATGGGATTGTCACCATGTTGGCAAGGATGGTCTCAATCTCTTGATCTTGGGATTGGCCCAGCTCAGCCTCCCAAAGTGGTGGGATTACATGTGTCAGCCACCATGCCTGGCCATATTACTGGATTTTATCTTGGGTGAGTAGAGGTCATTTTTTAATAACTGTGATTAGTGAGTTTCAGATGGTTCCTATGGTATGCCTAGAGGCAGAAAATGCGTACCTTGAGAGAAAAATATAAACTACTTTAATTTTCTGATTTTTTTCTTTGTAGATGTGGAGTTACGCCATGTTATCCAGGTTGATCTGCAAATACTGGGTTCAAAAGACCCTCTCACGTCAGTCTCCTAAAGTGCCAGGATTACAGGCATGAGCCACCATGCCCAGCCAGTTTTCTTTTTTTTTTCTTTTTTTTTTTTTTTTGAGACGGAGTTTCGCCCTTGTTACCCAGGCTGGAGTGCAATGGCGCGATCTCGGCTCACCGCAACCTCCGCCTCCCGGGCTCAGGCAATTCTCCTGCCTCAGCCTCCTGAGTAGCTGGGATTACAGGCACGTGCCACCATGTCCAGCTAATTTTTTGCACTTTTAGTAGAGACGGGGTTTCACCATGTTGACCAGGATGGTCTCGATCTCTCGACCTCGTGATCCACCCGCCTCGGCCTCCCAAAGTGCTGGGATTACAGGCTTGAGCCACCGCGCCCGGCAGTTTTCTTAATGAATTAGTTGGTTGTGTACTTTAAAAACAGTAGGGAGTCTCTCTGAGTCTACTCTGGCTCAGGAGACCGTCTGATCAAAAAAATAAAAATAAAATAAAAACACTAAAATTTTCTGGCTTATTCTTTCCACGTTTTAAAATATATGTTGTTTGTTTGTTTGTTTTGAGACAAAGCCTTGCTCTTGTCACCCAGACTGGAGTGCAATGGCGTGATCTCAGCTCACTGCAATCTCTGCCTCCTGGGTAGCTGCCTCAGCCTCCTGAGTAGCTGGGATTAAAGGTGCGTGCCACTATGCCTGGCTAATTTTTGTATTTTTAGTAGAGACGAGGTTTTACCATGTTGGCCAGTCTGGTCTCAAACTCCTGACCTCAGGTGATCTGCCCACCTTAACCTCCCAAAGTGCTGGGATTACAGGCATGAGCTACCACGCCTAGCCTAAAATACATTTTTTAGGAGGGAGGAATTTTTTTTTCCAGGTTCCAACCTGTGAGGGAGGAATTTTTAAATCTAATTCTTTGACCATATATTTCTATACTACAAAATTCAAAAAAAGCATAAAATTAAACAGTGAACTCTCCCTACTTATGTTCACTATATGTATCGTATCTCTATGAAGAGTTTACATTTCCAGTGTTTACTTACTGTGCAGCATGCAGCACCTCGCTTTTCTGTTGTTGTTGTTGTTGTTGTTGTTGTTGTTTAAGACGGAATTTCACTCTGTCGCCCAGGATGGAGTGCAGTGGTGCAGTCTTGGCTCACTGGACTCCACCTCCCAGGTTCAAGTGATTCTCCTGCATCAGCCTCCAGAGTAGCTGGGACTACATGTGCACGCTACCATGCCTGGCTAATTTTTGTATTTTTAGTAAAGATATGGTTTCTTTTCTTTTCTTTTCTTTTTTTTGAGACAGAGTTTTGCTCTTGTTGCTCAGTCTGAAGTGTAATGGCGCAATTTCGGCTCACCACAACCTCTGCCTCCCAGGTTCCAGCAATTCCCTTGCCTTAGCCTTCTGAGTAGCTGGGATTATAGGCATGTGCCACCATGCCCACCTAATTTTGTATTTTTAGTAGAGTCAGGCTTTCTCCATGTTGGTCACTCTGGTTTCAAACTCCCGACCTCAGATGATCCACCCTCCTTAGCCTCCCAAAGTGCTGGGATTACAGGCATGGGCCACCGTGCCCAGCTGGCACATTGCTTTTCTCACTTAAAATATATCTTGGAGAACTTTTCATTTTGGGACTTAGGGATATTTTTTGGTTTGTTGTTTGTTTGTTTTGAGACAGGGTCTCCCTCTGTTGCCCAGGCTGCAGCTGGATCTCGGCTCAGTCCAACTTCCGCCTCCCAGTCTCAAGCCGTTCTCCCACTTTGGCCTTCCGAGTAGCTGGGCCTACAGGCACATGCCAACACATCCTGCTACTTTTTATATTTTTTGTAGAGACAGGATTTTATCATGTTGCCCAGGCTGGTCTTGAACTCCTGAGCTTAAGTGATCCACCTGCTTCGGCCTCCCAAAGTACTGAGATTAAAGGTATGAGCCACTGCACCCAGCCTACTATTTATGTAATATATACTAGGTGCCAACTACTATAGGGGACATAAAGATGATTCAGTCTCTGCAAAAGTCATTTTCTGTCTCTCTTTTTCCTGTTGTACAGCATATAATTAATGAACTAAATAGTCCACTAGCTAAACAAGCCCTAAATAATCAGGCACTTGCTCCAGTTTTGAAAAATTTTAAAAGCTTTATGAAACAAAGTATATTCCCAGTAATAAGAGGTAAAATATGCAAAGTGTTACTACTGGACAATTTATGGACTCTTCTTTTCTACAGTATATCTACTGTCATATGCATGTATCCCCCAAAATTCATATGTTAAAACTTAACCACCAGTCTGGTAGTATTAAGAGGTGGGACATGATTAAGTCATGAGGGCATGGGATTAGCGACCTCATAAAAAGGTTGACAGGAACAAGCTAGTCCTTTTCATTGCCCTTACATACCTCTGTTAAGTGAAGACACAGCATTGGTCCCCCCAGGGAGGACATAGCAGCAAGGTGCCATATTGGAAGTGGCCACCATGCCCTCATCAGGTACCATCCTGCTGGTATCTTAATCTTGGACTTCCCAGCCTCCAGAACTGTGAGAAAGAAATTTCTGGGGTATTTTGTTTGTTTGAGACAGGGTCTCTGTCACCCAGGCTGGAGTGCAGTGGCACAATCTCAGCTCACTGCAACCTCTACCTCCCGAATGTGCACTACCACACCCACACCCAGTTGTTTTTTGTCATTGTTGTTGTTGTTCTACTGTAGAGACTAGGTTTTACCATGTTGCCCAGGCTGATCTCGAACCCCTGTGCTCACATAATCTGCCCGCCTTGGCCTCCCAAAGTGCTGGGATTAAAGACGTGAGACGCTGTGCCTGGCCAAAAGTTCTGTTTTTTAAATAAGAAACCCAGTCTCAGGTACTTTCTAATAATGGGCACTTTCTTATATCAGCCACTGTGCCTGGCCAAAATCTGTTTGTTTGTTTTTTTTTTTTTTATAAATAACCTAGTTTCAGATACTTTCTTATATGTGCAAGATAGAAGATAAACAGACTGTACCTATCTGTCTATCTCCCTCATAGGTCAGTTTCCACCTGACTGTAATCACATCAAGTGTCCCATACATCTCATATTTACAGAAAAATAAATTGGCAAATACTGTTATTTACAGAGAACCTGCTCTTTCCTGTACACTGTGACATATTTTGTGGTTTGTGCTTATGTGTTCTGGTCCTTGCAATAGCTCTAAAATAATCTCAGAAAGTTATTCCCATTTTGTAAATAAGGAAATTGAAGTTCTGGTAACATAAGACAATTGCCCAAAGTAATAGAGTAAATGACAAAGCTGGGATTTCTTTCTTCCTTCCATTTATTTATTAATTATTTGAGATAGGGTCCCTGTTGAAGGATGCAATGGTGAGATCATAGCTCATTGCAGTCTCAACCTCCTGGGCTCAATTGATCCTCACACTTCAGCCCCTCGAGTAGCTGGAACTATAGGTGCACACCGATACTCATAGCTGATTTTTGTATTTTTCTGTAGAGATCTACCTATGTTGCCTCGGCTGGTCTCAAACACCTGGGCTGAAGTCATTCTCCTGCCTCAGCCTATCAAATAGCTGGGACTGCAGGCGTCTGCCACCACTTCCAGTTGATTTGTTTATACCCAGTGATTCTTTTGGAATAGTTTGTCCCCCCAGGGACATTTGGCAACATCTGGAGATATTTTTGCATGGGCAGGAGGGGCGTGCTACTGTCATCTACAGGGTAGAGGCCAGGGATGCTGCTAAACATCCTACAGTGCACAGAACAGCCCCCTCCCCTCCCAACAAAAGATTATCTGATTGGCCCCAAATCTCAATGATGCCAAGTCTAAGAAACTGCTTTGTATTTCTCTGAGAGATTAGGATGAGGAGGACTCTAAATTGTTGTCTTTGAGAAGAATATATATATATATATATATATATATATATATATATATATATACACACACACACACACACACGTATATATAACTAAAGATATATAGTTGAGATCTTGCATTTTTGTTAATGAATGTGGTTTTTATAAAGATAATCAACTCATAAAATAACTTTTGACTCTTTGGAAAGGAAAGTGGAACAAATGAGATACCTGCTATTCATTTTGTTATTTAGAATTTGTTCATCGGGATCCTCCCTACCATTCAGCCATTTGCAAAACATTACCTGAGCATAAATTAATCCCTTCCTGTTCACAGCAAAGATTCATGGAAAGCCGTCTGGTATACTGTCACCTCATCGCTCTACTAGTGTTGACTGAATTACAGGAGGGCACCTTATCCAAATTGGCCAATGAGAAATTCTTTTTTGGTACCTTACTATATCTTTGTATCCTTAGAACAAATTCTCCTTTTCTGCTTAAGCTGGCTTGACCTAGTTTCTGTCACTACATGCTAAGAGGCTTTAGCCAACAGAGCTACTCTAGAAGTAGTTATAAAATTTATCTCTAGGGAGAGACTGCTCTTTTGGAAAAACAGTTTAATGCGTCTTCTGGGTATATGATGATAGTAAAGCAAAATTTCATTCTGGAATCAAGAAGCTCATTATATTGTTTGTTAGATTACAAACAATACAATGCACAGTGAATTGAAAGGCCACCCTGGGGCAGGGCAGTGACTTTGCAGGTAGCATGTTAATTCTTGCTTGCTTTTTGTTGTTTCTGTTTTTGGAGAGGGAAGGTCTTTATTTTCTTAGACCCTCCCCCACTTTATTTTCTCTGGGGAAAGGCAAAACTGGATAAGGAGGCTTTTCCTGCCAAGACGAGTTGGCCCACAGGACAATTTGACTGAACAGAGGCTCCACAAAGAATGGACAAGACCAAAGAAAATTAGGCTATTTAGTTTCAGGTTTTTCCTTTTTCTTTTGTTTTATTCTTTTTGAGAGGGAGTCTAGCTCTGTCACTGCCCAGGCTGAAGTGCAGTATCACAATCTCAGCTCACTACTTTTGCCCCCCGGTTCAAGTGATTCTCCTGCCTCAGCATCCCAAGTAGCTGGGATTACAGGCACCTGCCACCACACCTGGCTAATTTTTTGTATTTTTTAGTAGAGATGGGGTTTCGCTATGTTGGCCAGACTGGTCTTAAA